GAGTCTCTAATTACAGAATTTGGCTCAGATAAGGCCATCAGGCTGTTATTGAAACAGAAACAGATTTTAATTAATTAATGTGATTTAATGTTTTAAATCTATGTAATTATTGGATTTTATTATGTATTTTATTATATGTACATTGGAGGCATCGAATTGTTGCCAGCTGGAAGCCGCCCTGAGTCCCCTCCTCCCGGGGGGGGGGGGGTTTGAGAAGGGTGGGGTATAAATATAAATTCCTGAAATAAATAAATAAATAAATTTGAAAAAAATATGAAAATCTTCCAGACTTTTAGGTTGCAAAGCAACCTTTCAAAGTAATTTCTAACCTACAGAGAGGGCATTAAAGAACTTATGAAGTTTGCCTAATCAGGACACTGCCACAAACACAAGCAGAAATATATGTTTTTGAAAAAGTAAATGAAATATATGTGTAACAAAAGGACAGGCATTTAGGATGGTAGCATTTTAACTCCAGTTCCAGGAGCCACGGTGGTGCAATGGGTTGAACCCTCATGCAGGCTGAACTGCTGACCTGAAGACCTGAAGGTCTGCTGTTCAAATCTGCGAGATGGGGTGAGCTTCTGCCTGTCAGCCCCAGCTTCTGCAGCAAGGACATGAGAGAAGCCTCCCACAGGGTGGTAACACATCCGGGCGTCCCCTGGACAATGTCCTTGCAGACGGCCAATTCTGTCACACCAGAAGCGACTTGCAGTATTCTCTATTAGCCTCTGACACAATTTTTAAAAGCCTCCCGTTCCAATAGTCTTCATTTTGTACATCTTCTGTATGTTCCCAGCACTCCCATTTATCATATTTGGAGGACATGTGATGAATTGCTTGCCTCCAAAAGCATATTTGTGGGTTTGCTTTGTTTTGTAGAGCCAGTTTACCAGCTGTTAGGATTTCTGGGAGTTGAAGGCCAAAACATCTGGGGACCCACAGATTGAGAACCACTGCCAAGGTGATCTGGATCATTGTCAGCATACCTTTTTGCAAATCTGGTACAGCACTTACTCTGCATCTCCTTATTATGCTAAGTATGAGATCCACTTCAACTATTCAATGTCTTGTGTGCGGAGATATAAAAAAAAGTCGAATAAATAGATGACAACAAATAGGAAGAACAAGAGACCTCTTCCACAAGACCTGAGAAATCAAAAGAAAATTTAAACCAAAAGTGAGAATGCTACATGAACAATACAATACAAAGTATAAATAAAGAGAAACAAAACTCCAAAGAGTTTTTATAAAAGAGATGAACGAATGTCAGAATCATTTGAAGAACGTTATGAAGACAGCTTTCCAATATTGGAAGAGTTTGGTGGGCATTGACCATGAGTTTTGGAGTTGTAGTTCACCTACATTCAGAGAGCACTGTAGACTCAAGCAGTGATGGATCTGGACCAAACTCGGCATGAATACACAACATGCCCAAATGTGAACACCAGTATAGTTTGGGGATACAGACCTTGACATTTGGGAGTTGTAGTTGTTGGGATTTATTGTTCACCTACAATCAAAGAGCATTCTGAACCCCAACAACAACAGAATGGGGCCAAACTTCTCACACTTCCCATGACCATGTGTTTTCTGATGGGCTTTGGTGACCACTCTGACACCCCACATGGGTCCCGACCCCCAGGTTGAGAAATGCTGCTCTAAAGCAAGCCCATGCCTTCTCTAACTATATGGAAAACAAAACAACGGCCCGTAGATGGAAAATGTGCAATATACATTACAATCTCTAAGAAAGGGGACACCAAGGATTGCAGCAATCATAGGATCATTGTGTAAACTCCCATGCAAGCCAAGCAATGCTCTGCATTTTATAGCAAAGGCTTTTACAACAAATACAGTGAAAATTGCCAAATGGCCAAACTAGGTTCAGGAAGGGCGGAGGCATCAGGGATCTCATTGCAAATATAGGCTAGATCATGTAGTATAGCAAAGGATTTCAAAAGAAAATCAGTTTCTGCTTTCTACACCATAACTAACTCTTTGACTGTATAGATTATGAAAGACTATGGGTGGCTCTTAAAGAAGTGGGTGTGCCAGATTATCTCATTGGCTTGATGCATAATCTGTATTGCGGACAAATACTGTTAGGACAGAATACAATGGAACAGAATGATTTCCAGTTGGCAAGACTTAATTTTATCACACTATCTGTTCAACCTGTTATGCCAAAAAAAAAAATTAGATAAAGAGCAGAATTAAATCCAAATGTGGAGATGTAAAGAATGAAGGAAGGTACATCAGCAATTTAAGATATGCACTTTGAACATCTTGAGTATCCATGCCAAATTTTGTCCAGATCTATCATTGTTTGAGTCCACAGTGTTCTCTGGATGTAGGTGAACTACAAATCCAAAACTCAAGGTCAAAGCCCACCAAAACATTCCAGTATTTTCTGTTGATCATGGAGGTACTGTGTGCCAAGTTGGTGGAGTTCAGAATGCGTTTTGATTGTAGGTGAGGTATAAATCCCAGCAACTACAACTCCCAAATGACAAAATCAACCCCCCCCCCCCCAATCCCACCACTATTCAAATTTGGGTGTGTTGGGTATTTGTGCCAAATTTAGTCCAGTGAATGAAAATACATTCTGCATATCAGATATTTATTTACATGATGATTCATAACAGTAGCAAAATTACAGTTGTGAAGTAGCGACGAAAATAATGTTATGGTTGGGGGTCACCACAACATGAGGAACTGTATTACGGGGTTGTGGCATTAGGAAGGTTGAGAACCACTAAAATAGAGCATCTTCGAGGTCTCTCATTCATAGGGGTGTCATAAGTTGAAGTCACAATGAAAGCAATAAGTAACAACAAAACAGACTTCTGTCTCCTAGATCCCAGGCTTCCCACAAAGCAAGCATTAACTTTCCCAATACATCAATTTTCCTGTTTATACTTTTTCATTGACTTAAGTACAGCCCAGCTCAGCAAGATGGTTTGTGGAAAAGAATGAAAACTGTGGAATTACTCTTTTGAACTACAACTCTTAAAGGCTGAAAAGGAATTATGGGAAATATTGTCAAAGCATTCCTAAATCACCAAGTTGAGAAAAGTGAGGAGTGTTTGTGTATAGCATTCATTGTAAAAATCCAAGCATCTAGACATCATGTGTAGTCCACCATGAATAACACCCCAGTATATTGTGTTTACAATCTGATATATCTGTGTTACATGGTACTGTGGCATTCGGGAATATCAGAATCAAAAAAACTGTCCTTTGTTAGACCTATTTTCGTCAATGTAAGTTCAATGTGTTGTCAAAGGCTTTCATGGTTGTTGTGAGTTTTCTAGACTGTATGGCCATGTTCCAGAAGCATTCTCTCCTGGTGTTTCGCTCACATCTATGGCAGGCATCCTCAGAGGTTGTGAGGTCTTTAAAGAGGTCTTTAAGACCTCACAACCTCTGAAGACACCTGACATAGATGTGGATGAAATGTCAGGAGAGAATGCTTCTGGAACATGGCCATACAGCCCAGAAAACTCAAAACAAACCAGTGTAAGTTCAATTTGATCTGAATGGCTCTATTTAGTCTTTACCATCTTTGACAACTCTCTCCCGTTGAAAGAGTTGTCTCAACCACATCTATGTCAGGTGTCCTCAGAGGTTGTGAGGTCTTAAAGACCTCTTAAAGACCTCACAACCTCTGAGGACACCTGACATAGATGTGGATGAAATGTTAGGAGAGAATGCTTCTGGAACATGGCCATACAGCCCAGAAAACTCAAAACAAACCAGTGTAAGTTCAACTTGATCTGAATGGCTCTATTTAGTCTTTACCATCTTTGACAACTCTCTCCCGTTGAGAGAGTTGTCTCATCCACATCTATGTCAGGTGTCTTCAGAGGTTGTGAGATCTTAAAGACCTCTTAAAACCTCACAACCTCTGAGGATGTCTGACATAGATGTGGATGAAATGTCAGGAGATGATGCTTCGACAACTCTCCCATTGAGAGAGTTGTCTCATCCACATCTATGTCATGTGTCCTCAGAGGTTGTGAGGTCTTAAAGACCTAAAGACCTCACAACCTCTGAGGATGCCTGACATAGATGTGGATGAAATGTCAGGAGATAATGCTTCGACAACTCTCTCCCGTTGAGAGAGTTGTCTCATCCACATCTATGTCAGGTGTCCTCATAGGTTGTGAGGTCTTAAAGACCTCTTAAAGACCTCACAACCCCTGAGGACACCTGACATAGATGTGGGTGAAATGTCAAGAGGGAATGCTTCTGGAACATGGCCATACAGCCCAGAAAACTCACAACAACCAAATGTAAGTTCAGTTTGATCCGGATGGCTCTATTTAGTCTTTACTATCTTCAACAACACTCTCCCGTTGAGAGAGTTGCCTCATCCAAATCTATGACAGGTGTCCTCAGAGGTTGTGAGGTCTTAAAGACCTCTTAAAGACTTCTCAACCTCTGAGGATGCCTGCCATAGATGTGGATGAAATGTCAGGAGATAATGCTTCAACAACTCTCTCCCGTTGAGAGAGTTGTCTCATCCACATCTATGTCAGGTGTCTTCAGAGGTTGTGAGATCTTAAAGACCTCTTAAAACCTCACAACCTCTGAGGATGTCTGACATAGATGTGGATGAAATGTCAGGAGATGATGCTTCGACAACTCTCCCATTGAGAGAGTTGTCTCATCCACATCTATGTCATGTGTCCTCAGAGGTTGTGAGGTCTTAAAGACCTAAAGACCTCACAACCTCTGAGGATGCCTGACATAGATGTGGATGAAATGTCAGGAGATAATGCTTCGACAACTCTCTCCCGTTGAGAGAGTTGTCTCATCCACATCTATGTCAGGTGTCCTCAGAGGTTGTGAGGTCTTAAAGACCTCTTAAAGACCTCACAGCCTCTGAGGATGCCTGACATAGATGTGGATGAAATGTCAGGAGAAAATGCTTCTGGAACATGAAATATCACACAACCGTGTTTTTCTTTTCAAAAGAAATCTCCGGAGAACTCTTTCTGTAATGGATGGTCAGTGCATTTTATTTTGAATCAGCACAGTACAAAAATAAATAAAAATAAAGGGGGAGGGGTTAAGTTACAGGCACACACAGCTCTGTGACAGTCTTATATTTATAAACCTCACATACTTACAAACACACTATAATACACATACATACAAAAAAGAGACCATTTATAAATTAATTTAAGTAATAATAAGCAATAATCATAATACCAGTTTTGGTCAACAAATATCTACAGAAGAGATTGCACACTAAAAAATAAAGAAAAAATTCCAAAAAACCTTAACATACACAGACATGTAGAATTTAGCAGGTTTTCTATTTTTTTCTCTTCTCCCCTCCCTCCCCAAAATGTACAGTTATGAAGAATTTCAAGTGAAAAAAAATGGCACACTTTTTTTCTTTGTATTTTTTTCCCCCCACTTTTGAATTTTTTTTCATTAAACAACGGTTTTCCAAACAGAGCTAAACTCTTAACAACTGTGTACAGTTAAGATCAGAAATGATCCAGAAGTTTTGAGATGAAGCACATTGATCGGGAGGAGCCGGGGCCTGCGTGATGGCGAGAGGGCGAGGACGGAGGAGGAGGAAGAGGAGGGAATGTGCTTGAGAATTGTGCACGGTGAGTGAACTGTAATTTTAATCTTTACAATCAGCTGTTCTAAGTTTGTGTCTGTTGTCGAAAGACACGATGCTGCTGTTGGCATGCACAACATCACTGTAAAGCAATGGTGAACGAACAGAAGAAAGATCTCCCTCCCTCCGCCCCGCCGTTAGTATAGATTTTGTTCTAAAAGTATTTTCGTATAGCAGCAGGTAAAAATCCCATTCATTGCTCTTGTGTGTACTCAAGTATATCAGTTGATCCTTTGTTGTTTCCCTATTATAAAACAATAAATACAGAGGATTCAGGACTCCGAAGGAAACAAAGACAGTTATTCACCCCGAGGCTCACAAAACCAAATCACTTTTGCTTCCCATGCGGTACAATCCTATGCCGACTTATGCGAAGAAGCAAATCTTCTGCAGATCACTAGGTCTTCCTGCGTAGGATTACAACTTTAAACCTTTCCGAAGCTTATGAGAAAAAAATTATTTTTTTGTATTTAAAAAAAGTGCATGGGGAAGGCAAACGCGACGTATGTTTGTTTAGTTGTTTATTTATAAAGGTCCAGGCGCCGTCTGGCATTGAGCCCGTGCCTCTTAAGACGTTCCAGAAGCCAGCAAAGATGCCGAGCAACGGACACTGTCGTGGAAAGACTGAAATGATATATGTGCCATCCATTTTGGAGCAGCAAATGATCATGCAATGCAGATCTATACACACACACACCCCGATTTCCCCGCCCCGTCAACTATGGAGACCCCAAAGAAGCCCACCCTTGGCCTTCCTTCCTCCTATGAACCCAAAACGAACACTTAAACAGTCAGTGTCTCCCATTGTAATGGCTCAGATTTTGGCCTAGCTTTGAAGGCAAAGAGCAAGCCCAGCAGCTGTTTAGTATTCACAAGCTCTCCGTTCCTGTCTACTTCCAACCTCGCAGCTTAGACCTTTTTTTTTTTCATATTTCACAGCTTTTTTTTTCTGTTCCTTGTAAGTATTTTTAATAGTGCTCTGCTGCTTTTGAAGTTAAATTGCAAGCTACCCTATTTAACAACGTTAAGTACACTATAGCCTTCCGTCTGCCCTTCTGCTAGAATGCCAGCATCCGTAACACCAGGAGTGGAAGCGCATCCCAGAATATTTCCTGTCCGACAAAGCAATCGTCAAGCCAGACCGTAGTAGGCTTTTGTCCTCTCTCCTGCGTCTCCCACAAGAATGCTAAACCCAAGAAGATGGCCTCCGTCCCAAATGAGGTTCATTATCTTCCGCAGAATGTTATTGCCCTGGACGATTGGCATTCGATTCACATTGTCATTAACTGAGCAAAATTCAGTGTATCTAGTCATGACCCCACCCCGCCCCCCACCCCGCCCCCCAACTTCCTATATACATCTACCGTCCCTGAAGGTAATGAGCAGAAAGACGTTTACCTCTTTCCTGTATAACAAATGGAAAGCTAAGCAAAACAACTGAAATGTACAAAGCATCAGATGGCACTGAATGTTTACAAGAATAAATGGAAATTATCAAGTGCTGGCATATGGTTTGCGGGGTCAGTAGGGAAAGGATGATTATCGTACAAACAGATTGGTGCCTCAAGAGAAGCATTGGCCATATACACCTACAGAATATACAAAACAGAAAATCTATTTACCTTTTTGTATATGCTGCAGATTGGTAATTTTAGACACAATCCGTTTTCGGAACCGTTAAGTCAAACATCATGGATCTCTTGCTTTTATTATTGTTATTCAATGCATTCTCTTAGTCTTCTCCCCCAGAGCTCTTCCCTCCCCCCAACTCATATAGTGTTCAATTGGCTAAATCCTCAACTCAAGGGAAGGGACTGGAGGTACCCATAATACCAGTCGCATATGGGGTTCAGCATCGTTGGATAAACCAACGTGGACTCGTGAGAATGTAGATGACATCATTCCCACACTTTCCAGTTAAGTCGATCCTTGGTAAGGGATAATTATATTCCGGCAGTTCAAATGGCCACAATACAACTGTGGTCACCCTGCTTGGAAACAGCCAAATTATACAATACAATAAAATAAAAATAACCCAGCAAAAATGAATTGCAGCTGGAGGCCATCTTGAATACAGCCCCTACTCCATATTGACAGGGTGGGGAACAAGTGACCCTTCAGAGGTCAGACCTCAACTCCCATGAAATCCTATGGTGCAGGATGATGGGAGTTGAGGTCCGGCAACATGCAGTAGGCCACAGGTTCTCCAGGCTCCCTCGCTTGATTTTACTCGGGTGCTTTAACAGGACACAATCCCCAAGCCTCTCCTTTACCTTTTAGCTCTGATGTTTTGAGATTGCCCCACGGAGCCCAAGATGTTGCCCCCCGTGAAAGGGGTGGCAGAGGTGATAACATACAGAGGGGCAGCAATAGGCCTGGTTCTCAAGGCAACCCCGTTTTCATGCAAGAAAGAGTCCATTTTGCAGGACAATACTGTGTTGGTGTCATTTTGCTCAAGTCGGTGTGTGCAAAGTAAGTCCATTTAAACAAAAGGAAATCCCATTCTTTGATCCCTTTTTTTCTGGAATGCCAGACGCTGAAACATCCAGTGGATCTGATCGCTCTTTTTTTCCCAAGGAGCATAAGATGCTCTTTGCTTTCTCTGCCGCAATCCACCACGAGGAATTAAGATCCCGTTGGCAGCAAAAACAACTGGCAAAGAGGCGCTGCAAGTCATGCGTGGCTGTGCTTGGCCTTCGCTCCTGCTCTGCTCGAAGAGGAGATACAGTCCCATCTGCCACATGCAGTGAAATAGATACCTAAAGAGGCCAAACTCCCATCGTCCCCATTTCATTTCACTTCAGAGAAGCCAAGCCAACCATGGGTGGCGGAGAACGCTAGCTTGGAGTCCTCCTTTAGGCTTGTCCAGCCTTAGCTTTGTGTCCTAGTCTGTTTTGGAAACAAAAAAGAACATAAAGGAAGGACCAAAAATAAAAAAGGAAAGAGGAAAAAGTATGGTTTCCCGCTGCATCGGCGCTCACCGGTCGAGGCCTATGAGGAGCCTGTTCTTTTCCTCCTGGCTGCTCTCGTTCTTCAGGTCAGCAAAGACCTGAGTGAAATAGTGCGGGTCGGCATTGATCTGCAACATTTTGGGACTCATGAGGTTAATGATGGATAGGCAGCGATCCCAAAAGGCCTCTTTACAGCTCTCCACCAGGAAGGGCTTGAGAGGGTAGGAGATCTCGTTGCCCATGTAGGAGTAGGAGAGATAGAGGCAGGTCAGCAAGACGGCTTGCAGTTCGTGGTCGGTGGCCACCTCGCAAGAGATGACGTCCCGGCAAAGCATGTACAGAAAGACAACGTTGGCCGGGGTGATGAAGCCCTGGTCTTGCCAGCCTTGCAGGAGAAGAGACCGGTCGACGCTCCGGAGCCACAGCACTGGGTCGGTGGGCGAGAGATGTTTCAGCCGGTAGCACCGTCGGCACAGGAATTCGCCCAGGCACCGGAGCAACTCGCTAGTCGAAGCTTGGACGATCACCCTCTTGGGAGTCCCCGAGGAATTGGTGTTGGGGTGCGGGGTCTTCTTGACAGAGGAGAGGGCGCTCTTGGAGTTGGAGATCTGGTTGTTTGGGGCCGGCGGCTGGGCACTCTGGTTCTGAGCGAAGGTGGAGAGGTTGGCACAGGAAAGGGACTTCTTTAGGTTCTCGTTGTTGAGGTGGGTGACGTTGTTCTGGTAGCTGCTGTTGGGCTGCACCTTCTTGGAGTTCTTCTTTTTGGCGGAGACGGCCACGATGCGCTTCCAAGGCAGCACCGAGATGATGGAGTGGCGCTTGAGGCTCTTGTCCTTGGCATTCTTGCTGTTCTGGACGGCCGTGTAATGCCCCACCGTGGCCGAGCCGTCTTCAAAGAGGGTGGCCTTCCGGTAACTGGGCGAAAGGGACAACACGGTGCCCATGGCGCCGGTGAAGGAGGAGGAGGGAGGAGGAAACGTGCGAGGAGCTGAACAAAGCCAGCAGCCAGCAGGGTGCCGTCTCAGCCCGGTGGTCTGGCTTCAAACCCCGTTTCCCCTCCTCCACTGCCTTGACGATCTGGATTCAGACCTGTCAAAGACAACACAGTTTGGATAAGCATGGGCAAGAAACAGATGCCGAAACGTCCATCTTTCTCTCTGCTGCGCAGCCTCCCTTTTCTTGACGATGCACCAAAACCACTTCCCTTCCTGTCATAATATTCCACTGTACACCCAATCTGAATCTACAATCTGATTGTGGCTATTCATGGGGAAGCAGTACAAAAGGAGTCCCCGGTGGCGCAGTGGGTTAAACCCCTGTGCCGACAGGACTGAAGACTGACAGGTCGCAGGTTCGAATCCAGGGAGGGCGCGGATGAGCTTCCCTCTATCAGCCCCAGCTCCTCATGCGGGGACATGAGAGAAGCCTCCCACATGGATGGTAAAAACATCAAAACATCTGGGTGTCTCCTGGGCAATGTCCTTGCAGACAGCCAATTCTCAACTCGCTCCTGACACGACCAAAAAAATTTACACCAAAATATTTCTTCCCCTCTATTGGTTTGAGCATTGTGGGGCACCTTCCTACCCAAAATAGTGACAAGAGGGGGGGGGGGCAGGAGACAGTTCCACCTTGTCTCTTCTGTTATTCTAATAATATAATATAATGTAATATAATATATTGTATATACATATAATATTTATAATATTATGATGCAATGCAATATAATAGTAATAACAATATGTGGGGCACCTTCCTACCCAAAATAGTGAAGGAGGGGGACAGTTCCACCTTGCCTCTTGTGCTATTCTAATAATATAATATAATGTAATATAATATATTGTATATACATATACTTATAATATTATGATGCAATGCAATATAATAGTAATAACAATATATGGGGCACCTTCCTACCCAAAATAGTGAAGGGGGGGGGCAGGGGACAGTTCCGCCTTGTCTCTTGTGTTATTCTAATAATATAATGTAATGTAATATATTGTATATACATATAATATTTATAATATTATAATGTAATGCAATATAATAGTAATAACAATATGTGGGGCACCTTCCTACCCAAAATAGTGACGAGACTGGGGTACAGGGGACAGTTCCACCTTGTCTCCTGTGCTATTCTAATAATATAATTAATATAATATAATATAATATATATACATATAATATTTATAATATTATAATGTAATGCAATGTAATACTAATAATATTATAATAATTTTATATTTATATTTCATGCAATATTACTAATAATATTACAATACAATGGTATAGCACAATATAGTAATATTTAATACTGATATAGAATCATAGAATCCAGTCCAACCCCCTCCAAAAATCAGGACAATTGCATTCAAAGCACCCCTGACAGATGGCCATCCAGCCTCTGTTTAAAAGTGATGCTTCTTGTCCTATGCTAATAATATAATAGATTGTATAATATAATATTACAATATAATGGTATAGTACAATATAGTAATATTTAATACTGATATAGAATCAAAGAATCCAGTCCAACCCTCTGACAAGAAGCAGGAAAATTGCATTGAAAGCACCCCCAACAGATGGTCATCCAGCCTCTGTTTAAAAGCAATGCTTCTTATCCTATGCTAATAAGGTAATATATTGTATAATATAATAATATTACAATATAATGGTATAGTACAATATAGTAATATTTAATACTGATCTTGTACTATGCTAATAATATAATATATTGTGTGTGTGTGTGCATGTATGTGTGTGTGTATATATATAAACACGCACACACACACACACACACATATATATATATATATATCTTGTAAGCCGCTCCGAGTCCCCTTTGGGGTGAGAATGGCGGCATATAAATGTCATAAATAAACAAACAAACAAATAAATAAAATGGCAAAACCAGGGCCCTCCCTTGATTTCAATGAGATGTCACATCAAAACATCCCTTCCTCTCCATCCATCTGGGTTTGAGTGCCTTACCCCTCCTAAAAAAACCCCAAAACGACTGCGACGACGACGACCCATATCTCATAATAATTGGAGACGGCCATGATTACCCCTCTGCGCCTCACTCTCCATCATCTTTGATTGACAGGGGCCTACCTCTTGCCCCTTTCACATCTCCGCCAATGTCAAACTGTGCTTCCTTTCCCTAACCAAACCAAATATCCTCCTTCCATACACACACCATGCGACAGTGTGCGCTGTGTTTGCACAACAGGAAGCCATATTAGCCGGCTGCAGCAAAAAACAAAACATAACAAAAAACCCAACAACAACAAAAGATCCCTGCCAGCGCCTTCGCCAGATGAATCAGAGAAGTCGGTTGCGACAATATATTATTAGCATAGTACAATATCAGTATTAAATATTTCTATATTGTATTATATCATTATATTGTAAGACTATTAGTAATGTTACATGTCATTTAAATTTATTTATTCATTTGCGACATTTATATGTCGCCCTTCTCATGCCGAAGGGGACTCAGAGCAGCTTACAACATATATATATATATAATGGTATAATACAATATAGTAATATTTAATACTGATATTGTACTATGCTAATAATATTGTGTGTGTGTATATATATATATATATATACACACACACACACACACAATATTATTAGCATAGTACAATATCAGTATTAAATATTACTATATTGTATTATACCATTATATTGTAATATTATTACTAATATTACAAGTCATTTTAAATACATAATTATAATATCATATTATTGGTATTATATTGCATACAATATATTATATTATTAGCATAGTACAATATCAGTATTAAATATTACTATATTGTTTTATACTGTTACATTGTAATATTATTACTAATATTACATGTCATTTAAATATATTTGTAATATCATACTATTGGTATTATATCGTATTATTAGCATAGTACAATATCAGTATTAAATATTACTATATTGTATCATACCATTATATTGTAATATTATTAGTAATATTACGTGTCATTTTAATATATAATTATAATATCATATTATTGGTATATTGCATACAATATACTATATAATTAGCATAGTACATTATCAGTATTAAATATTATTATATTGTAAATATTACTATATTGTCTTTTAAATATATAATTATAATATCATATTATTGGTATTATATTGCATACAATATATTATATTATTAGCATAGTACAATATCAGTATTAAATATTACTATATTGTATTATACTGTTAGGTTGTAATATTATTAATAATATTACGTGTCACTTAAATATATAATTATAATATCATATTTTTATAATATATTATTCGCATAGTACAATATCAGTATTAAATATTACTATATTACTATATTGTCATTTAAATATATAATTATAATACCATATTATTGGTATTATATTTCATACAATATATTATATTAACATAGTGCAATATCAGTATTAAATATTACTATATTGTATTATATAGTGCAATATCAGTATTAAATATTACTATATTGTATCATACCATTATATTGTGATGTTATTAGTAATGTTACATGTCATTTAAATATATAATTATATTAGTATTATATTGCATTACATTACAATATGATAAATATTATCTGTATATACAATATTATTATTATTATTATTATTATTATTATTATTATTATTATTATCATAGCACAGGAATTGGGAATCAGGTGCAAGTTGGCATCCATTAGGACCCACCTGGGCTCTGATCTGATTGTATGGGGAAAGGGGGTCCAATTTGGAGCTTTCTATTGCTTAGGTTTGGTGATTCCACAGTGACACGAGTGGGTGGAAGGGGAATCTTGGGGTGTGTTCACCCAGACAGCTCCCATTCTGGCCGTTCCGGCCAGAATGGGAGCTGTCTGGGTGAACACACCCCAAGATTCCCCTTCTACCCACTCGTGTTTTTTCCCTCCCACGCAAAACTCACCCCCCCCCCCCTCCCTCCTCTGTATCATTTTGCTGCATCCATGCGAAAGGATGCTCTCCTCCGATTAGATCACAGAGTGGTACCCACCGCAGTGCAGGGAGGGGCTCGTGTCCCGCGTGGCTTCTGTCCAGGGTCCTGCAGCAATGGAGGCGACGGAGGGGGGGCCTCCAGCCTCCCCCCTTGCCTGCTTTCTCTGGCTTAGAGGCACATCCACCAGAGGAATCGGGAGTCTTCCCTCGGTTCCCCCTCCCCACCCAAACCCCCCTCCCTCCCACCCTCCCACCCTCAATCACGAAGCGTGGCGTCCCGGTCGCCTCCCAATCCGCGCCTGTGGGTGCTGATGCTCCTGCTGCTGCTGCTGCTGCGCCCGGCTTGGTTCCGCGTCCCGCTCGTCTCCACTCCACCAGAGACGGCGTTCCAATGAGCCCACGTCGCTCCGCCCCTAAACACGCCCACGCATCCACTGACACTCTGGCCACGCCCACACCTCAACAGAAAGCTCTCACTCTCTCTCTCTCTCTCACTGCAGCTCGGCTTTGCAGGGAGCGCCCCCAAGCGGCGGCAAGGGGAAAGGCAGGCATTTTCCAAAACACCAGAGCATGTGCAGAATAACTAGGTTCTTGTGGGTTTTTTCGGGCTATAGAGCCATGTTCTAGAGGCATTTCTCCTGACGTTTCGCCTGCATCTATGGCAAGCATCCTCAGAGGTTGAGAAGGTCTGTTGGAAGTAGGAAAAATGGGTTTATATATCTGTGGAATGGCTGGGGTGGGGCAAGGAGCTCTTCCCTGCTGCAGTTAGGTGTGAATGTTTAGCTGATCACCTTCATTAGCATTTGAAGGCCTGCCTGAGTCTGGGAAAATCTGTTGCTGGGAGGTGTTAATCTGTGCCTGGTTTTTTCCTCTCTGTTGTTTAGCTGTTATAATTTTAGAGTTTTTTAATACTGGTAGCCAGATTTTGTTCATTTTCATGGTCTCTTCCTTTCTGTTGAAATTGTCCACATGCTTGTGGATTTCAATGGCTTCTCTGTGTAGTCTGACATGGTGGTGTTGGTGTGGTCCAGCATTTCTGTGATCACACTACTTCAACCAGAGAAGTCAGCCATAGCAGAGCACCTGATGAACCAGCCTGGACACAGCATATTATTTGAGAACACAGAAATGCTGGACCACACCAACAACCACCATGTCAGACTACACAGAGAAGCCATTGAAATCCACAAGCATGTGGACAATTTCAACAGAAAGAAGAAACCATGAAAATGAACAAAATCTGGCTACCAGTATTAAAAAACTCTAAAATTATAACAGCAAACAACAGAGAGAAACAACCAGGCACATATTAACACCTCCCAGCAAGAGAATTTCCCAGGCTCAGGCAGGCCTTCAAATGCTAATGAAGGTGATCAGTTGAAACATTCACACCTAGCTCCAGCAGAGAAGAGCTCTTTGCCCCACCCCAGCCATTCCACAGATATATAAACCCATTGTCCTAATTCCAACAGACCTCACTACCTCTGAGGATGCTTGCCATAGATGCAGGTGAAACGTCAGGAGAAATGCCTCTAGAATATGGCTCTATAGCCCGAAAAAACCCACAAGAACCTAGTGATTCCAGCCATGAAAGCCTTCGACAATACATGTGCAGAATGTCAATGGAGGGATTTTTTTAAAAAAAAGCTACAGAAGATCTGTATAGGAAGGATAATAATATCGAGGATAGTTTTGACGGTGTGGTGAATGAATTAGAACCAGACATCCTGAGGAGTGAAGTTGAATGGGCCTTAAGAAGCATTGCTAACAACAAGGCAGCAGGAGATGACGGGATCCCAGCTGAACTGTTTAAAATCTTAAAGATGATGCTGTCAAGGTGATGCATGCCATATGCCAGCAAATATGGAAAACACAAGAATGGCCATCAGACTGGAAAAAATCAACTTATATCCCCATACCAAAAAAGGGAAATGCGAAAGACTGCTCCAACTTCCGTACAGTGGCCCTTATTTCTCATGCCAGTAAGGTAATGCTCAAGATCCTGCAAGGAAGACTCCAGCAATACATGGAGCGAGAGTTTCCAGATGTTCAAGCTGGGTTTAGAAAAGGCAGAGGAACGAGAGACCAGATTGCCAATCTCCGCTGGATAATGGAGAAAGGCAGGGAGTTTCAGAAAAACATCTACTTCTGCTTCATTGACTATTCTAAAGCCTTTGACTGTGTGGATCATAATAAATTGTGGCAAGTTCTTGGTGGGATGGGCATCCCAAGCCACCTTGTCTCTCTCCTGAGGAATCTGTACAAGGACCAAGTAGCAACAGTCAGAACTGACCACGGAACAACAGACTGGTTCAAGATTGGGAAAGGCGTACGGCAAGGCTGCATCCTCTCACCCAACCTTTTTAACTTGTATGCAGAACACATCATGCGATGTGCGGGGCTTGATGAATGCAAAGCTGGGGTAAAAATTGCTGGAAGAAACATTAACAACCTCAGATATGCAGATGACACCACTCTGATGGCCGAAAGCGAGGAGGAGCTGAGGAGCCTTCTAATCAAGGTGAAAGAAGAAAGCGCAAAAGCCGGGTTGCAGCTAAACATAAAAAAAACCAAAATTATGGCAACAAGAATGATTGACAACTGGAAAATAGAGGGAGAAAATGTGGAGGCCGTGACAGACTTTGTATTTCTAGGTGCAAAGATTACTGCAGATGCAGACTGTGGCCAGGAAATCAGAAGACGCTTACTTCTTGGGAGGAGAGCAATGTCCAGTCTCGATAAAATAGTGAAGAGTAGAGACATCAGACTGACAACAAAGATCCGCCTAGAGTCAAAGCCATGGTATTCCCTGTAGTCACCTACGGATGTGAGAGCTGGACCTTAGGGAAGGCTGAGCGAAGGAAGATCGATGCTTTTGAGCTGTGGTGTTGGAGGAAAGTGCTGAGAGTGCCTTGGACTGCGAGAAGATCCAACCAGTCCATCCTCCAGGAAATAAAGCCCGGCTGCTCACTGGAGGGAAGGATACTAGAGACAAAGTTGAAGTACTTTGGCCACATCATGAGGAGACAGCAAAGCCTGGAGAAGACAATTATGCTGGGGAAAGTGGAAGGAAAAAGGAAGAGGGGCCGACCAAGAGCAAGATGGATGGATGGCATCCTTGAAGTGACTGGACTGACCTTGAAGGAGCTGGGGGTGGTGATGGCCGACAGGGAGCTCTGGCGTGGGCTGGTCCATGAGGTCACGAAGAGTCGGAGACGACTGAACGAATGAACAACAAACTGAATATGGATAGGGAGGGAGCTCCAGAGCATGTGCAAAGTGTCAATAGAGGATTTTTTAAAATAAAGCTTCTGAATAGGGAGAGAGCTCCAGAGCATGTGCAGAGTGTCAATGCACGCTTTAAAAAAAGCTTTTTGCATAAAGATAGGGAGCTCCAGAGCATGTGCAGAGTGTCAATGGAGGGATTGTTAAAAGGTTCTGAAGAAGGATAAGAAGCGAGCTCCAGAACATGTGCAGTGTCAATGGAGGGATTTTTAAAATAAAGCTACTGAATAAGGATGGGGAGGGAGTTCCAGAGCATGTGCAGAGTGTCAATTAATGGTTTTTTAAAAAGCACCTGGATAAAGATAGGGAGGGAGCTCCAGAGCATGTGCAAAGTGTCAATTTAGGGATTTTCTTTAAAAAACACTAATTAATAAAGATAGGGAGGGCGCTCCAGAGCATGTGCAAATTGTCAATGGAGGGATTTTTTTTAAAGGTTTGTTTATTTATTTAAAAGTTTTGTACACCGGCCTTCTCACCTCTCTTGAGGGACTCAGACTGGTTTCCAACCATAATGTCACATACAGTCAATAAAACATCATAATTCATATTACAGTAAAACATTAAAACAGCAATTACATTCAATAACTACAATGGTCAGTCGTCACACTAAAATCGTTGCTCATCATCCTCCATCCATATCTCAGGGTGTTGGCTCACTCGTCGAATGCCTGTCTCCATAACCACGTCTTCACGTGTTTCCTAAATGTCAGGATAGAAGGGGCGGTTCTGATCTCCAGTGAGAGACAGTTCCAGAGTCGAGGGGCCACCACCAAGAAGGCCCTGTCCCTCGTCCCCACCAGATGCGCTTGCAAGGCCGGTAGGACCGAGAGCAGGGCCTCTCCAGACAATCTTAATAATCTTGATGGTTCATAGGGGAGAATACGTTCGGAGAGGTAAACAGGGCCGGAGTCATTTAGGGCTTTATAGATTAACACCAGCACTTTGAATTGTGCTCGGAAACTAATTGGCAGCCAGTGGAGCTGGTGTAACAGCAGAGTGGGGTGCTCCCTGTTACTTAGGCGATCCCTCGTTGGACGAGTAAGATGGTCTTCCTTGATGACTATTTTTGTGGGTTTGTAGGTGGCTGTGGAGCCCTATTCTTGACCCTCATCTTCTCCCACAGTGGAGGCATTGGTTTCCAGGTGGAAGGTGGTCCCGGTTGGGGTTGGCTTGACGCGCCTTCCTCCTGGCACGTTTCTCTCTTTCACCTTCCACTCGTGCCTCCTCAAATTCTGCAGCACTGCTGGTCACAGCTGACCTCCAGCTGGAGCACTCAAGGGCCAGGGCTTCCCAGTTCTCAGTGTCTATGCCAGAGTTTTTAAGGTTGGCTTTGAACCCATCTTTAAATCTCTTTTCCTGTCCACCAACAATCCGTTTTCCGTTCTTGAGTTCGGAGTAGAGCAACTGCTTTGGGAGACAGTGGTCGGGCATCCGGACAATGTGGCTGGTCCAGTGGAGTTGGTGGCAGAGGACCATCGCTTCAATGCTGGTGGTCTTTGCTTCTTCCAGTACGCTGACATTTGTCCACTTGTCTTCCCAAGAGATTTGCAGGATTTTCCGGAGGCAGCGCTAATGGAATCGTTCCAGGAGTTGCATGTGACATCTGTAGACAGTCCACGTCTCACAGGCATATAGCAGGGTTGGGAGGACAATAGCTCTATAAACAAGCACCTTGGTATCCCTACAGATGTCCCGGTCCTCAAAACCCTCTGCTTCATTCGGAAAAATGCTGCGCTCGCAGAGCTCAAGCGGTGTTGTATTTTGGTGTAGATGTTGACTTTGGTGGAGAGGTGGCTGCCAAGGTAGCGGAAATGATCAACATTTTCTAATGTTACACCATTCTGAATATAGAGGGAGGGAGTTCCATAGCATGTGCAGCGTGTCAATGGAGGGATTTTTAAAAGGTTCTGAATAAGGATAAGAAGCGAGCTCCA